CACAAACCAACACGCCGCTAATGCCCTTCTCGTGATGTACGCAAAGTGCGGCCACATGGCGGAGGCAGAGGCTGTCTTTCACGGGCTTGACGGAAAGAGTGTGGTCTCGTGGACTTCCCTAGTAGTCGGGCTGGCCATCAACGGCTTTGGAGAGGATGCAATTCGGGTTTTTGAAGAGATGGAGAGAAGAAATGTTATCCCCACCGAGATCACTTTCATCGGGGTCCTGTACGCTTGCAGCCACAATGGGCTTGTGGACGAGGGCTTCGCGTACTTGGAAAAAATGATCGAAAAATACGGGATTGTCCCGAGAATGGAGCACTACGGATGCATGGTGGACTTAATGGGCCGGGCGGGCAAGATCGAACGGGCCTATGACTACATTAAGAATATGCCCGTGGAGCCCAACGCGGTTATCTGGCGAACGCTGCTCGGGGCTTGCACTTTGAGCGGGAACGTGAGAATCGGTGAGGTTGCTAGAAAGGAGATCGTGAAATTGGAGCCGAAGCACTGTGGGGACTACGTGCTGCTATCAAACCTTTACGCGTCCGAGAGGCGGTGGTGTGACGTGGACAGGGTGAGGCGGGCAATGGTGAGGGAAGGGGTGCGGAAAGTGCCGGGGTATAGTCTAGTGGAGGTGAGGAACACGAGTCACGAGTTTGTGATGGGAGATAAGTCACACCCGCGCACGGAGGAAATATACGAGATGCTGAGGGAGATGAGAAGGAGGCTGAGGTCGGAGGAAGGGTATGATCCGGGCACGTCGGGAGTGCTCACGGATGTCGAGGAGGAGGAGAAGGAAGATGCTGTGATGCACCACAGTGAAAAGATAGCGGTCGCGTTTGGGCTCATCAGCACGCCGCCTGGGTCACCGATAAGGGTCGTTAAGAACCTTAGGATTTGTGTGGACTGCCACGTGGCGATCAAGATGGTTTCGAGAGTTTTTCGGAGGGAGATTGTGGTCAGGGACTGCAGCCGGTTTCATCATTTTAGGGACGGGAATTGTACATGTAAGGATTATTGGTAGAACTTTTTTGCATTACTCTTTTTCTTTCTCCTGTAGAATATATGTTGCAAAGAAAGGTGTTTTTT